GGGGGGGGGGGGGGGGGGAGGGGAGCAGCCAGCACAATTCTCCATGCAGTCCTCAACTTACAACAGTTCATTTAGTGACCCTCCAAAGTTACAACAGCACTGAGAAAAAGGGACTTATGATGACCGTTGTGGCACCCCAAGGGTCACGTGGGGCAGCATTTCGGACAGCAGCGTGGCCACGAGGAAGAGCCCAGAAGGCCCGGGGCCTCAGGGAAGCCCAGACGCAGCCCCCCCCCCAACCTCTCCACCCCCCCCAGCTCCCCTGCCCTCACCTCAGGTGCATCAGATAGCAAAGGACCCGCTTGGGCTGCCCTGCGAGATCCGAGCCAGGGGCCTCCCCCTCACCCACCGGCACCAGGAAGATGCGATGGCGCAGGAAGGTGACGTGGTTGGCAGGCATGTCGTGGAAGTCGTAGGTCACCAGGAACATCTTGACCACCGTCTTATTGGGGTTGAATAAGGTCTGAAGCGGGGGGGGGAGTCAGTGGGGAGGGGGAAAAGGAAGGCCAGGCGTGGGGCCATTCGCCCTCTGCTCTGGGGGAGGAGGGGGGAGGGGAGAGCCAGGCTGCCTCCAGCCCCCCCCCCCCACAAGCCAGCCCCCCCTCCCTTCCCCCACCTGCCACTCACCACTTGGATGGTGCCCGTTCTGGGGATGCTGTACCCCTTCTTTCCCAAGGCTTCCAAGTCAATGACTCCCTGCGGCACAAAGGCGGCACCAGAACCACGTCAGAAAAGGAGGGGCGTGGCCGGTGGCCAGGTGAAGTTCACTTGCTGGGGTTGGCCGGGGGGGGGGGGGGGCAGGAAGAAGCCCCTCTTGAGCTAGGTGCTCCTACAGCCGAGGGGCTTCCCTGGGGCAGCCCTCAGCATGGCCCCCTCCCCGGCGGGATCTCGAAGGAGGGCAGGAGAAGCCGCTGCCAGCTGCCTGCCTGCTCACCTCCGCCCTCCCCACCCCACTACACCACCCCCACCCCCCGCAGCCCCTCACCAGAAACGGGGAGGGGGCGTTGTGCTCGGCTATGTCGAAGTAGGTGACCTCCACAGGCAGGGTGGCGTGCTGCGGGCAGTAGGAGCCACTGGCCCCAATCTCTGCAGTGAAGCCCTCGATCCGGCCGGAGGGTGGGAAACGCCCCTTCAGCATCGACTCCTGCCAGGAGGGAGGGAGGGAGGGGGGCATTTTCGGGGGGCCTGACCAGGGCACAGCCCCCCATGTCCCCCCAGTGAGAACCGAGCCTTCCTCAGCTCAGCCCCCTCGGTTGGAAGGAGGCAGCCACCCCACAGCTTCGCGTTCACGGGGCACATGAGTGGCCCCACAGGTGGTGGCAGGCCAGGCCTCCCCAGCCGCATGGTTACCTCAAAATTCCCCAGAAGGGCGTGGCTGGTGGAGGTGCTGGGGGGCCGCCTGCCCACAAGGGCCCTTCCGGGGCTGCTGCGCAGCTGCCTCCTCCTGCTTGGGGCAGAAGGGATGTTTCACTCCGGGGCGGCCTCCGCCAGCCCCTCTTGGCCCCTGCAGGGTGTGGGGTGCTGGGGGGGGGGGAGGGCCTGGGGCTCGGCCACATGTGTAGCCGCGGCTGTCCCACCTGATGGCTGCGTGGTTCAGAGGCTGCCATGGGCTTCAAAAGCGGGGAGGGACTCACGGTTTGAGGTGCAGGCCCGGTCTCAGCTGGGAAGCGCCCGTCCTGCCGCTTGCTGAGCCCTGGGAGGCCGAAAGGTCAGAGGTCAGACCCCGCAGCTCCACTCCAGGGCCCCCTCCGGAGCAGCCGGGCCCTTACGGCTCCATTGCCCCCTTCAGAGGCCAGGGAGAGAGAGAGAGCGCCAGCCCACACAGCGTCCGACATGGGCCGCCCCTTGGAAGCCTGTCCAGCACTAGGGGGGAGTGCTGCTCTCCTCCTCCAGCCAGGTGGCACCCCTTGGGCGCCACAGAAAGGCGGCCCTTTGCCCAGAGCCCAGCTCCTCACCCCCAGCCCTCTTTGAGGGGCGGAGTTCCTCACCTTGGCTGCGGGAAGGAGGTGGTTCCAGAAGGGGGCGCCCTTGGCATCGGTACTGCGGCAGGAGGCTGGCATGGTGGGGGAGTGCAGGGCCCTCTTCTTGCGTGCTGGTAGAAGGCTCTCTTCCTCCAGGCCGGCGGTGGTTGCCCTCCCTTCAACCGAGGGCAGCAGCTTCCTCTTGGCCGGGCAGCTGGCTGGGCCGCCTCCCAAGAGCTGGCCGCTGGAGCAGGGCGTCTTCTCGGCCGAGCAGAGCCCATTGGCGCTGCTGAGGCTGGGGGCCTTGGGTGGAGTGTTGGGTGCCTGGGCCTCCGGGGACGGCGGCCCTGGTGGGCGGGACGGGGATGCAGGGCTGTGCAAATCGTGGTCGTGTGGGAAACGGGGCCCCCCGTTCTTTTCTGGCCTGGAGTCCATGGCGGGCTGCTCCCCGCACAAGACGGGGGCTGAGTCTCTCGTGTGCAAAGTGGCGCAAAGCCTGCCGGGCGCCAGCAGGGCTTCCCCCCGGCCCTCAGCAGCTCCAGGCTCCCGGCCTCCGCGCTGGCCGGGACCGACCTCCTGCCGGTGCTCTACGACTCGCAGGCCGCTGTGGGAGAAGTGCTGGGCGGCGCCCCCCAGGGCCAGCCCGTCCACCAGGAGCCCATCCTCGATGGCCTCCTCCTCCTCCTCCTCCACCTCCTCCGCCGTCCCCCAGTGGCCCCTCTTGGCATCCCACTCGCCGCCCTCGGCCACCCACCGGGGCTCCGGGCAGGCCCGCTTGATGGGCTGCCGTCGGGGGTCCCTGTGCTGCGGGAGGGCAGAGCCGCTGCCCCGGGGAGAAAAGATGGAGACCTGGTAGACCTTCTGGCTGCCCAGCTCTGGCGGACTGCAGCCCATCCGGAGGCCATGGTGCTTCCAGGGCTGCTGCTGCTGCGGCTGCAGCTGCTCCTCCTCCTCCTCCTCCTCCTCTTCCTCCTCCTGCTGCTGCTGCTGCTGCTCCTGGCTCAGGCCTGTGCTCTGCTTGCGGGGAAGTCCAGGCTCAGCACTCAGGTGCCTCATGGGGCCGAGGGGGAGGACAGGCGCTAAAGTGCTGCGTGGTCAGGGCGTCCGGCCGAATCCCCTGCTAGGAAGTGGGCTGCAGAGCCACATCTGAAAGGAGAGGGAGGGCGGGGTTGAGCAACACCCCTCCCCCGAGGATGCCTCTCCAGGCCTGAAGCAGGAGGCCCCAATTGCCCTCCGAGGGGCAGCCCCAGACCCACCGAGTTCTCCTCCAGGCAGCCTCTCCCAGCTGCAGGTGGCTGCGCCCCCTGGAGACAATTCTGGGGGGTCCTGCCCCTCCCCAGTGAGCCGTGTGTGTGTGTGTGTGTGTGTGTGTGTGTGTGTGTGTGTGTGTGCGCGCGCGCGTGTCCCCTCCTTCTCCAAGTGCTCCAAAGCCAAGGGGCCAAGGCCTTCCCGACCCCCCAGCCCCATTGCAAAGTCTACAGCACCACCCAACAGTTTGCCCCCGGAGCTGCCCACTCACCCCACTGCACGGGGTCCCGTCCCCTGGCCGGCGTGTCCTCCTGCTGCAGCGGCCGACGGTGACTGGTGAAGCTGGCTGGGGACACCTGCCACCCGGCCACTCCCCAGAAGCGGCGCGGCTGCCGGGGGATGGCTCCCACCATCACGGGCTCCGGCTCGGTTCTGTGCACAGCCCACCACCAGGTGCCCCCAGGCCAACGAAGCAACTGGACAGCAGCAGCCCTGGGGGGAGAGGAGAGAGTCTGCAGCCTCCTCAGGCGGAAGGGAAGGGGGGGGTCCAGGAAGGGGGGGTCAGAGAACCCTCCTGGCACGTAAGGGGGGAGGAGGAGCACGGGGGAGGGTCTCTGGAGCACCTTGAGGAGGGGGCGACCAGGGAACTTTCAAAGGGGAGGAGGATTCTCTGGTCAGTCTGCAAACGATGCGTCCAGGTAAATCCACCTGCGGCTTCAGCCCACCTCTCCCCCCTCCCCCCTGGCCTCATGCTCCCTGCAAGACCGGAGTCCAGGCCAGAGGAAGGAGGAGCAGCATGGATGGACAGAGGGTCCTGTCCTCCTCTGGGTGGACTCTCTCCTCTAACTGCACCCCCCCCCAAAAAAAACCCCACCCTCCCTGCACACACAGGGTTTGTCCCGAAAGCCCCACGAGACCTCGAGGCCCCAAGGGCTCAGACTGGCAGACGCTGCACCAGCTACAAGAGAGGTTGGCGGAGGGCCTGTGGCTGGGGGGAGGGGAGTGTGGAGGAACACCCCCCCCC